AGGATTTTGGTGTTTCAATGCATTAAATACATTTAATATAATAATCTTCTCATTCTGAGACAGCGCACATCTTTTCACGCGTTTAGCAGGTACGTAATCTGATAAGCTCGACATTTTACCCAAACAATATTATATCCACTGGCACAATAGTCACTAAACACAAGTCGAATTTTACTTTACTGCACTAGCACGTCTTCGTATATTCAGCTCTAAGACTGGAATAATTACCTGAAACGAAATATTACCACGCCCATGGCCGGTTCTTATCTCGGGGTTTTATTACTCTCTTTCATTTCCAAACAGACTTTAGTTCTGAGTGATATAACGTATCAATTTGAAATTTATAGGTTATATAGGTTTATAAAAAAAACAAAAACCTGAGACACGTCGATTTTCTTTTCATGATGGCGTAAGTTTTGGTGTTCTGGAAACTACCCCCGAGACAAGGGTGTAAAATACCTTTAAATGGCACCCTATGTTGAGTGACACCTTAAAGCTTTTTCAGTTCTGCTCATGCAACTTTTCAAATTTTTGATTAGATATGGCAATAAAATCATCATAAGGAAAAATATCAATGAATGAAGGATTGTTATGTGCTCAAATTGGTTTCCCTTCGCTTCCATACAATAATAAATTTTTTGTTCCACTTCCGAACGAACATTTCGAAACATTTTGGGCGTTATCTGACGATATTCTCTAACAATTTCTTGATGAAAAAATTTGTTCTAATTTTTCGTTTATCTGTGAATACGGAAAACTTCATACTCTATCAGTTCAACATTTTTACCTCTTTTACTTTAAACGAGACAATCACATATCTCAATGGAACCAAATTTGCGTCTCGGGAAACTTGCAACTTACTTCAGAAATTTCTGTACCTACCTAGTTGCCGCCGAATCTTAAAAATTCATAAGTATCACCCACACAAAATTAACTTGGTACAATAAATTAATGAAGATGATCCTGATCGCCGCTTGCAGTTTTGTGAAGAAATGAGCGATCTTGCTCGAAGAAATCCAATTTTTTTGTACTCAATCTGTTCCAACTGGATGGTGGAATCAACCGTCATAATTGTCGCTACTGGAGTTATGAAAATCCACGTATTTTTCATGAATTTCATACACAGCATCCCGGAAAATTGAATATTTGGGCGGGCATACATGGAGATCACCACATAGGGCCTTTCTCCCTACTGGGAAATCTGAATGGACATGTATCTGAATCTACTGGAAAGGAATATCTACCCGATGATTGTGGAAGTATTGGAAAATGACAACGTTTTGCCAGAAGAGGATGTGTGGTTTCAGCAGGATGGTGCACATCACATTATGCCGTAGCTCTGCGTGATTTTCTTAATCAGAACTTTCCAAATCACTGGAAAGGACGCAGAGGTTCAATTGAGTGGCCTCCCAGATCGCCAGATCTAACGGCCTTAGACTGTTTTCTATGGGGACAGTCGAAAATTTATGCAACACGACCGAACTCACTTGAGGAGCTTCGCCGGCAAATTGTTGAAAACATGTCGTCAGATAACGCCTGAAATGCTTCGAAATGTTCGTTCGAAAGTTGAGCAAAGATTTTATTATCGTATGGAAGCGGAGGGAAACTGTTACTGTTTGTTCCAAGCAAGATTACTGATCACGTGGCTTGTAATCATTTATGAAAGCTCTGTATGTACATAAAATTAGTTGAGGTTGTTTCAAGACCTCGTCGAAGTTGCATATAATTGTAATTGGCTTGTAATTTCAGTGAATCTGGACATATTTCAGTTTTTAATATGACGTTATAGAACAATGCACCTAGTACTTGGTATTTTTGACGATTTTTCTGCTCAAATTGCAATTAATCAACAATTTATGATCTCCATTTTTTTTTTTTTAGAAATCGGGAGTTCGTGTAGAACTCCCAACGGAGAATCGGCGAAATGTAAATCAATTTATGATTGCAAGCTCCTCCTGGATGCTGTACAATCGCGGAATGCGGAGCAGCTAAGATTCTTAAGGGAATCGCAATGTGGATATGACAGAAAACCTTTGGTGTGTTGCGGCACCAAGGATAATTTCTCTCCGACCATTAGAACAGTCAGACCGACCAACCGAAATGGGCCAGGCGTTAGGAATCCTGCCATTCCTGACAGGTCAAAGTGTGGTTTTCAGGTGAGAATGATGTAAAAGAATAATAATAATTCTTAAAGCAGTCTTTCATCCCAATTGTAGAAATTGATATAACTGCTAACAGTATTAAACACTGCAAGGGTTGCTTTCGGTGTGTAGCAAAATCTCTCTCTCTCTCTCTCTCTCAACGGTAAAATAAATGTATTTTTTATTGAAAACGATAGTACAGTGAAAAGAAATGTTGTGGGTGCGAGCGTTCGCTGAAAAGTCCTGGTGTGGAGTCGCTCGCAGGTATATGTATTCAGTTCCTGACGGCGCCAATCTGAAGTGAACCTTTTCTGAAACCATGGTGTATGCGTCCCGCGTCTGTTCTTTATCCTTGCAACTGTTAGACCGGTCCGACGTCAGGCTGGCCCTCTTGACGTACTACTTAAGATAGGTCACTTGCAGACATGTGTACCCACAACTGTATAAAAGCAGTTATCATTTCCAATGGATTAAGTTAGTCGAAAAATTTTTTTCAATATTGAATAACATTGAATTACACAAGAGAAATACCTAGTAAACGTCTAATAATAAATAATAAATAAAAACTAAAAACCATATGCCCAAATGTAATTAATACAAAAACACATACTCATATACTGAAATTGTTGAATAACGTAATAATTTAAAGAAATATGTTGTATTTAATAATGATACAATCACTATTGCACTTTTGCAAAAATCAACACGTAAGAATTGCTGACTACTACAAAAAAAAATAGAGCAAAAAATATAATAGCTAATACCTAACAAGAGTATGTTTTTTAAAAAGAAATTCGTATTGACCTAGTCATATTCAATGCTTTTGACATTATAGTCTAAAAATATGATTTTTTTTTTCAAATAGTTTGATGTTAATATATTATTTTGTTCTATTAATATTTATTAATTCCATATGAAAAGAAGCAACCTGATGAAACAATCTTGTGCAAAATGTGCAAACAAAGATATTGGTAGTTTCAATATATCTGGTTTGTGTTTTAGTATTATTGATATTTCTATACATTTTAGTTTATGTTTTCGATAATTATACCTTACTAGGTATTTCTGTGGTTTAATTCAATGTTGAATTTTTTTATTGGAATAGCTAATGTATTTATTTCCTTCTTTTAGGAAAAAGAAAAAATTTTTGGTGGGGTAAACACCGATTTTAATGAATTTCCTTGGATGGCGCTGTTGGAATACAAAAATGCCTCTAATAGTAAGAAATTTTCTTGTGGCGGCGCCATAATATCTAAAAGATATATCATCACAGCCGCTCATTGTATTACTGGTGACATCTCGAAAAAAGTTGGACAACTGTAAGTATCAACGCAAATTGCAGTAATCATAAGAACAATCAAATTCAAGAAGTAACACTGTATACAGTCCGTAGAATATTTGTTGAAATAGAATTCCAAGAAGACCTCTGCGTCGCTTTCTTGGAATTAACCGCAATCGACACCCGAGGTAAAAAGGCATAACAAAATGTGATTTGTTTGAATTAGTACCTTTGAAATAAAGAAGAAAACCTTTATTTTTCAAAAACTCTCTTCAAAAGGCGACATTTTCGTTAAATTTTCAGTTGACAAAGTGACACTTTTTTGTCACCCAGCTGCAATAGTTATTTACACCAAAAAGGAGGTGTAAATATTATTTACCAGTCGATGGCAATTTTGCTGGCAATAGAGTCTGAGATTGGTTTGTACTTAACTGCTGCATAGTATACAACATATATCTGCTCCCACAGTTATTTATGGTTCATGAAATAAAGAATAGGTTTTATTTTTTGACATTTCTTAATCAATTCATTATGACATTATTCGAAATCTTACAACCAACCAAGACGGTTGCTGGCATGGACTATGTCGTTCCTAAGGTGTTTATAAACAAAGCTACACAAATGTTGCAATTTTGCTGGTTTTGAATTATTATTTCTAAATGAGCGATTTTCAAATAGAAAGTGCAACAAATGCTGCCTGCGAATTTTTATTGCCCGAGAAGTCGAAAATGCGCTACGGACGAGCATATAGAAATTTCAAAGAATGGTGCCAGAACAAAAATACTGGTGTTTCTGAAATGTCACTGCTAGCATATTTCATGGAGAAGTCAAGAACTTTAAAGTCACCGGTTAATTTGTGGAGTGAATACTCAATAATTAAGTCAACTATTTTCATGGAGGAAAACGTGGATATATCAAAATACCCCCAGGCGAGAGCATTTTTGAAACGTAAGAATGACGGCTATACACTTTTACAAGAGAACAAGTCAACGATTTTCTCGTTGAGGCACTCGATAACACATATTTGCTAGGTAGTGACGGTCTTCTGATGAGTTATGCAAACTTGTTTTGGACAACGTCAATTTAAAAAATTTCGTTTACAATTACTTCTCGTCTGCGTTCTGCTTCTCACCTAGAAATTCTCAAGAAATATATCAAGATTAGATTGGAAATTGAAACTGAAATTTCACGCTTTCTTATGCGCTATCAAGTAGATAGATGTTACAACCAACCAGTTGGCAAGAATACCCTTTCTATGATTCCTAATAAGATTGCACAGTTTTTGAAACTAGAACATCCTGAAACATATACAGGTCATTCATTCCGAAGAACATCGGCAACGTTACTGGCTAATACAGGAGTTGTTGCAATCAAGAGACATGGTGAGTGGAAATCAGACAGTTGCAAAAAGTTATGTTGCAAAAATGAAATAGCCAACAGGATTCTTTACAATGATACTTCAACTCCAGGTTCTAGTAGTACTTCGCATCTGGACTTGAAATCACAAAACATATTTTTGTTTTGGAAAAGGAAATTCTTATAATAATAATTGAGTCTTTGTCTTCTATATCATCCATCGTTATCCTTAGTAGTTCATCTCTTCTCAATGCTCCATAAATACTAATTATTAAAATGACCTGAAAAGTTGTCCGAAATTAGTTAAATCAATCGATTTATATTAATTTCAATTACCTAGTAGAAATTGATTATCAGGTGCTTCTTGTAAAAAATCTCTCAATTTCCTCTTTCCTTTAAATTCTGGACTTTTTCGGATGGTATCCAACTGATTTGTTTTTCAAATATGGTAATAATTTCGGAAATTTCCTGATACACATTTTTTGGCATTCCGTGTACTTTTTAACATGGAATATACTGACCATACCGTCGAAGGTTTAATTTTATTAATTTTATGTTCGAAATATGCCAGTCATACCGCTTCGGACCCTTTGGATTCGTTGTAGGTAATGTCATAGTCGTACTGTCTCGATGATTTTTTGGGGATTAATTGTGAAACAGCACTTTGTGCCACTTCCAATACTTCCCCTGGTAAACGCTTGTCTTCACGAGCTCATTTTGAATTAAACACCCTTAGAATATGAATTACAGTATATGTATAATTCTGACACTACTCTTTCAAACTAATTTTTATTGTTTATTAGGTTGGTATCGTTATGATAGTCACCGCGCCTAAATCATCTTGATTCAAACACGTTTAAAACGATTTCAAATATAAATTGTTGTATATAATACAATTGTCTTATTTTATTGGTTTTCGAGGAAAAATTGTTTGCATCTCAAACTCGAAATCCTTTTTGCTCGCTAAGCTCGGCAAAATAACTTTAAATAAACGCAAAAGTACCATTTCGTGTTCTAGATACAAGAATAACTATTTTCTATACAGTTTAGTTACAATAGTTGAAAACAGTTTCATAATAATAAAACGCGATTAAAATAATGGTATCGATGATTTTGATGTGACAGAAGTCCCACCAATGATCAAGAATGTTGATTCAAATTTAAACAAACTATATGTTTGTTATACTTTTAGGGTGAACGTACGATTGGGTGAATGGGATCTCAGACAAGAAGTAGACTGCGTCACAACAGCTGGATTTAATATCTGCAATAAACCTCCTGAGAATTTTGGAATCGAACAAACTTTGGTCCATCCAGACTATGACATCAGATCTGCTGATAGATATGGTGATATAGCATTGATTAGAGTTAACAGAGAGATCAAATACTCAGGTAAGAGCACCCATTTTCAGTAAGAAAAACTATTGAAGAATAAATTAAACTTGTATTAAAGACCATTAGTACTGATTGAGAAAATCCTTTTAGATTTCATTCGTCCAATTTGTTTGCCTTTGCCCAATGAAGCATCCACTGTCGGTGAAGAGTTGTACGTCGCAGGTTGGGGCAAGACGGAATTTGTAAACTTGAATCCTGTCAAATTGAAACTAGGCGTACCAATTGCTGAGAGATCGCACTGCGTTAAAAACTTCAAATCGGCTGGTGTTAATCTGGACGAGACCCAAATATGTGCTGGAGGACAAAAAGGAAAGGACTCTTGCACAGGTACAGGTTTCTGCTTCGTGATACATCAACCAAGCGAAAAGTTAAAGAATCAATTATTCTCTTTTCTAAACGTTAAACTTATCTTCCTCGTTGCAGATCTCAATGATTCCTTTTTTATGGATATACCAAGATTCTTCCTTATGTGGGAAACTATTTTATTCCATGACGTTACAAACATATTGAAATTTTGATGATTTTAGGTGACAGTGGGGGACCTCTAATGAGAACAGCCAAAAATGATACGGCTCAATGGTATATGGAAGGTATAGTTTCTTTTGGAGCAAATTGTGGAACGGAAGGATGGCCTGGGGTCTACACGAAAGTGTCTAAATATGTTGACTGGATACACGAAAATGTTAGAGATTAGTGGAAACCAAATGTTGTAAAAACTATTGTAGCAAGTCCGCCTTTGTAATTTACATTTTAGATTGTAATAAAAATTTAAGATATCAATGTAATTTTATTTTACATAAGTTAGTTACAAGTCTATTAATCAATTTAATAAGATTTTGGTATAAACAACGAAAAATTACACAAAGAAAACTTTTAGTCATTATATAATATTGAAGATATAAGCATTTGTTGCAAGCTCAGGTATTTCTTCACCCGTACTTAATTTGTTGAGACTTTTATAAGTGACGTTTACAAATTAGTGATCGGTAAGTGATTACTTATTTATCAGCAGGTTTAAAACAACGTTCTCTTCTGTTGATGCTATAGTTGCTGCACAATTTGTAATATCACTCTGGGCTGCGATACCGTAGAATTTCCATGTAAAATCTTGTTTGAAAATTTATTTTTATTATAAAATTGAATACGGTGAATCCCGATAGTGAATTTTAATAGTGGACTCTGAACTGTGCCTACGCATTTACACTAATTCATTTCTTTGAACAGAACTGACATCCTTGGTAAAAAGACGACAATATGGTTTACAATACCGGTTTCAAAAGTAATTAAAGCAAACATTCATTTTCTGTGGCAAATAATTTTTTTACTTAATATTGATGCTATACGGGTGTTCCTTAATGATACGCGAATATTTGAGGGTGTGATTCTACATGGAAAATTAATGATAGTTTGCTTTATAAACTATAGTCCAAAAATGTTCCGTTGCAAAAATAGGGGGTGTTAAAATTTTAGGGAAAAGAAGGAAACTAATTAATAATTTCGTAACCGCTGGAGATATTTCAGTGAAATTTAGTTCGTAGTGATAGTTATTAAAGGCGCATGTTTTTCAATACAAACATAATTTTTAGCTCTAACAGTGGCGTGCGTACGAGCACTGACTTTGATATTTTAAAGAAAAAAATGGTACGCCAATGGTGAACCGTATTTGAGAAATAAAATAAATCCCGTTGTATTGCCCGTAATTAATTAATGTAATTATTTAAGAATAACAATTTTGCAGTAAACCTGGTTTTCAGCAGGACTTGATCGTAATTCTCTTATTTCACATTTAGACATAGACATAGTCGTCTAGATATAGACAGAGATTCTATTTCCGCCTATTCAACCGTTACTTATTTAATATACGCTGTTTTGAATACTCAGTTCTTAAAAAGGGGAAATACTTTCCGTTTTCGTTTTTTTTTTTTTTTTTCAGGAATAAAATTATATTACTAATTACGCGTGGGAATTATTTAGAGGATAAATTTAAACAACTGGAAAATTCTTCCGTCACCTATCCAAGGTAGTATAACCGCAGTGATAGTGGAATGTGGTCACAGATTTTAATTTTAGAACAAATTTATCTAAAAAGTTTATTGCGGATAAATCAGCTATATCAATATTTTATTGGCCTCATGGAACGTGTGGAAGTAACTACTAATTTTACTTAACAATGTACAGGATATCTACTAGGATATCAATATTTTTACTACACAGGATGTAACTTAAATACTTACACATATTTTAGGAAGTGATTCTTTGAGTCATTTTAAGAAGAAAAGTTCATAGGAACCTCCCATGTGACGTATGATGTTCTATAGATATCCGTTTTTGTCCGTTTTTGATCCTGTTTCTCTCATAAGAGGAAGCAGATAATATCCTTTATTTATATATACAGGGTGGTCCCGAGGTAATGGGCCAAAATTCATGGGTAGATTCCCCAAGTAAAAATATTGCGATTTAGCCGAACTTACCTTAATCCAAAAGTTGATAGTTAAAGAGATACAGGGTGTTAAATGTAAAATATTATTTCAGTTTTTTTTAATTTATTCCTTAACAAATGCAATTATCCTCATAAAATTTTGGGGATTGGAGTTCTTTGACTAGAGAAATTGAAATCTGTTCATATTTTGGTTAAAGTTCATAAAGGGCGCTAGCTGCAGTAGATTGAATGTGTTAAAAACGACATAACTTTTTTGTACTTTAAGGCATCTCATCTTTGGTAACAAATTCTTATTTTTCAACTTTTTTTACACAAAAAAGGTATACTTTATTAAAGTAGCTATCTCGCACCGTTTTCGAGATATTTGGCTGTGAAACTTCCAATGCTGTTGTATTAAATTACAATTAAGTTGCACGTTCAATGAATCCGAGAAGGGTGCGAAAAAATTGCTATTAATAGTGGTAATGCGTGTACAAAAACTCAGTCCTGTAGTTCAAACAGTTCTTAAGATATTGGCAAAAAATTTTAAAAAAATGAAAATTTTGACACAATGTTTCTCGAAAACGAAAACCCGGAGAGAAGAATGGAAGAGGAAAATGTTTCTTTTTTCAAGAGGAATTTACAGTTTTCCGTTGCGACACTTATTTAGGAACACCCTGTATGGAGAGAGAGAGAGAGAGAGAGTGTGTCATTTAACACTCCCGCTGCCAATATCTCCGAAATGAAGAAATTTATTTTAGTTCCGGAAATTGGGGGTTTTAGGTCTCTCGAATAACATCAAATTGTACTTAGAACTGTTAGTTCAAATCTTTCTATATATTCGTTTTTAAAGACTTGGCAACAGCGACATGTTTTTGTGCGTTTGGACGGCGTTAAAACTCAATTACAGAACCCATATGATGGTCCGTTTACAGTGATCAAACGCGACGACAAAACATTCACGGTGCTAGTGCGTGGTCGCGAAGTTAAAGTGTCCATAGATAGAATCAAACCTGCGTATTGTCTGAATGACGCTACCAGGGACTAGGACAATAGCCTTCCATCAACTTCTGCCCCATTATTTGTGCCAATCACACCCAAGGCAATTACCACTAGGTCCGGTAGAAGGGTCCGTTTCCCTGACCGGCTGCAAGTTCCGTGATGGCATTCATACTGGCAGGGGGGTGTGTGGGTACACATGCCGCAAGTGACCCATTTTTAAGCGCCAGCAGGACGCCGCCGGACGCACCAGCGTTCCAGGAAGGGTCTACGGCGGACTGGCGCCAGCCACCAGATGCCTACTGATATACCTACGACCCACTCCACAAATGAGGATTCTCCAACGAACACTCTCCCCGTCAACACGTCTTTTTCTATACAACTTAGTTTTCAATAAAATACTTTATTATTACCGTTGAGAGAGCGTTCTATTCTTGCTGTAGAGCGAAAGCAACCTTCATTATAATTCACTAGTGACCGAAAAAAAATGTAGTCACTAGTGACTGAATAGAGATGAGTACTCAGGAGCAGGAATATACCTGGAAGACAATGGTATCCAGGAAAGTTTTTCACTGGTTTCACAGTCTATCAATCAGAGGTTTTCGCTATTTTGATGGTGGCAAGTAAGGAGGAGGTAAGCAACTGTCTAGAAGAGAGCATTAGTTCCCCGAGGACAAGGTCCGTCCTTGTTCAGGAATGCGGAGACGTTCTGGAGTCACTAGCCAGAATTGGTTTGGGTTGCGGACCACATGGGTATCCCTGGCAACGAAAGAGCAGACCAAATGACTTGTCTTGGATTCAGGGACCTGAACCTATCCTCGGAATCACATGAGGTAGCATTACCGGGCCTTTAATAAATTATAATATTAGACTGGAGAATGAACAGAGGATGTAGGTAGGCCTATAGGGGCTTAACAAACCTAAAACGAGATAGCTGCTGAGCCTTAGTCGAGGAGCTCTAAAGCAAATGGTGGGGGTCATTGCAGACTTAAGAGGTATTTAAGTTTAATAGGAATTGAGGAAGACCTTTTATGTCCGAAATGTGGTGAACGGGAGAATCCACCTTCTGGGACACTGTGCAGTCTTCGAGAGGTTAAGACATAAGGTCTTTGGTACCGAAGAGATCCAAGGGGACGAGGTGATGGACCAAAATCCTGGCATGCATCAGGGCGTCGAAGATAAGTACGGCGCATATTGGGGCCTTTTGTAGTTAATAGTCCCAAAAATGTATTTTTTTTTATATTTTCTTTAGGCTTTAGCTTTGTTGAGAAAAAATACTCCATTTTGTAAAATTTTTATAGGCACTAGTCGCTTTTGGGACTACTACAAAAGGCCCCAATGTGCGGCGGGGTAAGCAAAAAGGGCCCACTTGTGGTCTAATTGTCAGGTTGAGGCCTACCCATTTACTACTACTAGGACTAATTTGGTCACTAGAAACCAACCTGTAGAAAACCTACAAAACTACAACTGTTGGACAAAATGATTTATTATTTTTTATTATTTAACTGGTACGTAAAAAAAGCGTGAAAAATGTTAAATTTTGATAAATATGTAGTAATTAAATACTTTTTTGAAGTTAACCATGATCAACAAATAAAAAGAAAAGGGTATACTTTTGAATTTGATCACTGCTATTTTTTTCAAATAAGCTGTATCATAACAAACAAAGTAGTACACAGCATGAATTTATCTAAATAAAAATTATAAATATTGTTTGATAAGTTTAATACCTAGTGATGGCAATGATCGTCCTAAAAAATTCGTGATATTCAGTTGCACTAAGTTCAAGGCAAATGTAACAGTAAAAATTAACAAGATTGATATTCGTAGTTCCAGGAATCATAGAAGTTTATAATGTAATAGTGGTATTGGTTCATTAATATTACAACCAATACTCAAAGGTCATCAACCTTGAGCTGAAGGGTAATAAACCATATTTTCCTTTATGGAATACCCACAAAGCTTTCTACAACTAATAATATTTTATCTGATTGAGTAATCTATCGTATATCGTATGCAAGTAACCAATACGCGATGATAAAATGTGGAAAAGGAAATTCGTCCAGATTAATTTCAAAACCGAAGCACCTCTGAATCATACCGATTAGAGATCTTCACGGTGATTTTGCAGAAAATACATTTCCAGATGTAAATTATACAGGAAACCATCTAATTACTCAATAGTTTAAAGATAGGCTTCGGATTTATGGCTGTGACGTCTGTGGTTTGTTTATAAAGTAGTTTATATATCCCACCCATTGTAGTAATCCGGCATAGTAAAGACTGGTTTCATTGGGTTGAGTTTGTTTACATCAAAATGAGTGAATCCAGATTACTCTCTGGCAAATTTTATTCCGCGTGT